AAGATGTAAAAGAGACAGACACAAAGGTAGAAAAAGATGAAGTGAGTATTACGGAAGTTTTGGAATATGAAATACAGTAGGGTGAATGTAGTTTGAAGTCAGAAGTCAACTGCCAGGTTATAGACCCTTTTTACCGCATGTGTGTACGCTTCCCAGGGTGCACCACGTGGAGGTAAGTCTATCGCACATCCCGCTATAAATATATAAAACCCTTTCAGGCAGGTCTATTTTTGGCATTGTACAATAATTGCTTATTTCCATAGAATAAGATTCATCCATGCGTTTCTATTAATTAGTTAATAGTACATAATCTCATATTTACTTGACATAAGTTTCTAGAGGTCGAGTGAAAGAAAATATTTCATAAGAGTTTAACAAAGCAAACTAATTTATATTCTGGTAATCCTCATTCATAGTTATGTTTGAAATTCCAGTTTGTTTAAAGGGTCCCATGAGGACCTGGTATATAAAAAATTTCATTACATTAACATCTGTTGTGTGGAGTGAATGATAAAATTTCTTGGTAATGACATATGTAGAAGCCAGATTTTTGTGGCAAATATTGCCGGAGGAACCTCAATGCAGAAGGGTACTGAGTGGACACGTTATTTGTAAACTTCGCACATGATATTTTGTCCGTGAAAAAAGTTAATTACATTTACCGACAATCTAAATAAATGGAAATCGTTGGTTAATTGAGAAGATCTCTGCAAGCATGCTCACAGTTTTCAGAAAATTAAAATATTCGAGGGATTCCTTCCATCGGTAATGGCAATGTTTTAAATCATGAGAGCTCTCAATAGTCTGGAGGACTCTATCTCAGTTCTTTTCTGACGAAATATAATTTCAAATAGATATTATGAACTGTTTTAAGCAAGTTCACACTACTATCGCATGTTGTTGATAACTAAAGTTATGTGATGCTTAACCAAAACTACCTTTTTTACTCTTCAATCTGTAGCGGATAAGCTACCTTAATAACCTTGACTACCCTCAGAAAGCTCTATGGCAGTTTCTTCCAACTCGAAAGTCCCCGGGAATCAGCTAAGATAAGACAAAGTTATAAAGGAAACAGACGTGTAGCACGGAATACGTTTTATTCAGTACGTATATTGATGGCAAAGTGTGTTTTTGGCACAGCGATTAGTTATCCGATAAATCTAGCATAATTCGCGTGAACATTAATAGCTAAATATCTCTGAGTAGAGCTCTGTAGCAGGATTTCTATTGGTGTGATGAAGTTTCCTACAAATCCCATCCACATTATTCGAAGGTTTAATCGAAATAGATTTAAAATTTAGAAGTAGTTTTTATTTAAACACAGAAGACTAGCTAGAAAATGATTAATTAAATTAGTTTAAATGGTGCAAATTATTCTACAAGTTCAGTGACCTCTAACTAAACTAAATTACCAATCCGCCTCAACATTCTCGCATCAGTCCTGTTGGTTAATTTAATGGTCCTTTGTTTTATTTTTGCTTATTTATGGAGTATATTTTAATAAAAACTTTAAAATATCGAGACCAAAAAATCTATGTACTTTATTTCGTCAAGCATTTGCCTATTTTTTCTTTCTGCAGTTAGGCAATGACTTCTCAAAGAGAGTTGGATAGTCTAGCTGTTGAAAATTTCAGAACTTATCTTCGCTTTCAAACCGTCCATCCAGATCCTGATTATACCGAGGCTGTCAATTGGCTTCGCAACCAGGGTACTAAAATAGGATTAGAGTGTTTTCTTGTCGAATTAATTCCGAAAAATCCCATTCTCATTATGAAATGGCAAGGAAGTGATCCTTCTCTCCGTTCCATTATGTTAAATTCTCACATGGATGTTGTTGCTGTTGAGCGTGAAAAGTGGACCCACGATCCATTTGCTGCTGAAATGACTCCAGATGGAAACATTTACGCTCGCGGGTCACAAGACATGAAATCTGTAGGTATTCAACATCTTGAAGCCGTTCGTAGACTCAAATTGGAGGGCTTTGTTCCAAAACGTACAATCTACCTCACTTATCTTCCAGATGAAGAGGTTGGCGGTGGTTGCGGAATGCAACCTTTTGTGGAAGGAAGATCACCATCTAATCCCAACTCTCCGAATGACATTCACTTTGAAGATATGAATGTGGGTCTCTGTTTGGACGAGGGAATTGCATCTCCACGACCCAATGTTTTCTATGCTTTTTATGAAGAACGTTCTCCTTGGTGGGTCAAATTTGTTATTTCCGGAAACGCTGGTCATGGCTCAAGATTCATCGAGAACACGGCTGTTGAGAAGCTCCACCGTCTTATAGGCAAGTTGCTAGCTTTTCGAGATGCAGAAAAGCGCAAGTTGGAAACAATGGTAGGAAACGATTTAGCTCTTGGTAGTGTTATTTCGACAAACATCACAGTTATTCATGGTGGTGTCAAAACAAATATTGTTCCTGGCCAGATTGAGGTTCAAGTCGATTTTAGACTCCCTCCAACAATTGATTTCAACAAATTTGAGGACCAATTGAATACTTGGGCAAAGGAATCAGGTGAAGGAATTGAGGTTAGTCGCTTTAGAGTTTTTCGTAGTGCTTATATCAAGTGCTTGTGTATACCTGTTTGATATTTCTATACACAACTTTGAGAAATTCTAATTTCTTGATTTGACTCAGTGATCTTTTAATAAATATCATTTTGATGTTTATCAGAAAAAAGACTTATTTCTAATTTACTTAAAAGATTGCTTAGAGCAACAGTAAATTATCCCTTCTGTTTGTGCATTGCCATAGAAACTTAGTTTGAAACCTTTCCTGATAAAAGAAGCGCAAATAATTTATTTTCCATCTATTTCAAACTCCAATTTTTATCCTTTGATTTTTTTATTCGAAAATGCTTTTCATGTTTGCATGCAAGCTCCACCAATGTCTTGGTAGATCAATGACACCCTTTTCGGGCTCTAGTTTTGCAAGCAATTTCGAAGGAAATACTGTAGTTTTTACTAATTTCTTCCATAGAGTTTAGACCCATTATATTACCATTTTGATTTCCATTTATTAGCTATATTTTATAAATTTAAGCTCTCTTTTCAAAATTCACTTGAGTTTAAGTTTCTGAAAAGTGTCTTCCTATGTTACTTATTTGGGTCTCAAGTTTTGCTAATAATTTCGATAATGCCTGAGAGTTGTTATGAATTGGTAGATGTAAGTGGTAACTCCAACCTCTTGTTCATTCGTTTGATCTTGAAGACATTTCTTTAAATGTTTAGAGTAATATGAATGTCGCTTTGCAGACCTGAATTAAGAATGAGTATGCGTTTCCCTTGGTAGATTATCTACATTCAGAAAGATATGGGTACTACAGGTGAAGGAAAAATGACAGACATCGGCAGTCTCAATGATCCAATACTAAGTGCTCTCCACAAAGCGGTTGTTGAACAAAAAGTAGAGTTTGGCATTTTCTTTGGATCCACAGACAGTCGTTTCATTCGTCGATGGCACAAATCAACTGGTGGGAAGCCGATTAAAGCTGTTGGATTTTCACCAATGTGTAATACGCCTGTTCTTCTGCATGATCACGATGAATTTCTCAATAAGAAGGTCTTCCTTGATGGAATTACTATCTTTAAACGCTTTTTTACTGAAATTGCAAACTTCAGAGAACTTTAAATCTTCGAAAATCCAATGTTTTTTGCTGTAGTTTTTTTTCAAGTTGGGTTTGATGGCCTTCATTTTGCGTCCAATTTTACTAAATTTTGTCGATACGAAATGTCGTTATAATGACGAGTCTTTCTTTTCTTCTCATTTCATAATATTTGATTGTTATTGTATGTCAGTGGGACGGTTTACTACTTCTTTCTGTTTTGTTTATGGATGGGTTGTTTGGTGACAGGTGCCAATTGTACATCACTTCGTTGATAGCTTTCAGCTAGTGATCGGTCTAAATTGTTTAGTTCCAGTTTTCGATTTACAACTTTTATTGGTTCATTTAATTAGTTTATTATGAAAAAAATTGCCAAGAGAATTAGCCAAACTTTGAAGAAAATTATTGACCATTATCCCTCAGAAAAGGACTTTCTAAGCCGACAATTTCATTTATTATTTATCGATTTACTGAACTCATTAAACAAATTACAATTAACTTACTGCCAAAGTTGTTAGATTTCATTTATAGAAAAGGACTTAGGCACAACAGGTCATGGCAATGTAGATATTCCGATCGATCGTCATCCGGGTGATATTTGGTGGAACCTTCTAGAGGACGTGATTTCCCGGCGATCGGCTGGTCTGCAAACAGGTATCAGCGGAGGAGCAAATGACGATCGTTATCTGCGCAAATATCATAGAACTTGTGGGCGAAATGTGAAACCCATCCATGCTATCAGCTTTTCGGCTCTTCGAAATACTCCAATTCTTCACCATAGCAACGACGAATTTGTTAACAAGGACGTCTTTCTTGAAGGTATTCAAATCGAAATGGAATTTGTTCGTGAAGCGTCTTCAGTTGGACCTCAGGAAGATGATAATTAATTCTACCCTTCTGCTGTTGGGTTGATGAAATTGATTTGACTGAATAAAAATTAATAAAATATTCATAATATGAATCTCTTGGATATTTGGACGTAAGGCAGCGAAGCTTTTTAAGTGTGTATAGTTTTAGTTTTTGCTAAGAGTGTATTGATGTGTATCAGCTAGAGGAGACAGTTGGAATTCAAATTTTGTATGTTTCTTCTTGTTGACAGTACTTAATGGTTGGATTGCTATGTTGTCTATGAGTAAATTTTAAACTAGTAATCTTTTGGGAGAATTTTTGACCGGAATCCAAGAACCAGGTCTTGCTGATATTATGTTAAATTCAAACGCATTGAGATAAATGCAGGCAGTCTGATGAGTTCAGAACTCAGATGTGATGAAATCTTCCCGCATATATCAAGGGGTGTGCTGGAAATCCTTAAATTGAGAAGTGGAAACATAATATGTTCTTCTATTTAATTGAAAACTGGCATTTGTACATCGTATACAAGAATTGAGGCTAGTAGCGTAGGGTCTGGAATGCAGAAGTTCCGTTATCTAACATCGGAAGAATTTCTGGCTATCTTCACCACCAAAGGTAGATATGTCAAACATGGGCTACTATCGGAAGAATTGGCGACGCCAATCGAAATAGCCTTGAAATAGTTGACAGACGCAGGGTAAATCGCAGGTCAAGCCAAAAGTGAGGAAGATGGTTGAAAAAACACAGGGACACTGTGACAGTTTAAGGAGACTTAACAATTCTCCATGTCTTAAGCGTTGCACGATTAGGAAAGATCAGCCTCATTTAGACTTAAGTGTCTGTGTGAGGATAAATTTCTGCTATATTTTATTTTTTTTGCAAGACTGCATGCAGCTAGAGACTCGATGCAAAAAAACGCCCGCACATGATCTTTATTGACCAACACATCCTAATTTCTCTCACTTAAATTATGAACTTGAAGCCATGTATCCACTTATTCAAATATGAAGGTGTTTACTATTGTGTCACTCAACGTACAGGCGGTGGTATCTAGAATTGCCATAACTTTTCCATCCTCTCATGCATTTTGGACATTACCAAAAGATTGCATGTGTTTACGTGAATTGGACCCCTCGAGTATGGTCAACGTTTATGTCCTAAATGAGTGCACTTAAACAGGCTCCCAATTCTGTTGGGTTGTGTTATTGTTCCATAACCTTCACAAGTTTTACGATTTGTGGACTTGTACTTGGAGTGGTTGGGGGGAGTGGGGGGGGGNGACTTGTACTTGGAGTGGTTGGGGGGAGGGGGGGGGGGTGGGGGGTGGGGGTGGGGAGAGAAACGCATTCCAGAGGCTGTAGAAAGCTATAATCTTGTCCCGTTTAGTAAATTAACGATAAATGAAAAAATTAGAAAACAAAGTTAAATGGTTGTATAGCCTGACGATGAATTACTACCTATAGTGATAGTCGAGTAAGGTAGATGCTATGATTTCAGAAAATTTATGACGATTGTAAAAGTTTTAATAGCTTTTCTGATGGTGGCTTTCAGAAGCAACAAATAGTTCCAACAAAATTTATCAAAAGAATATTTTACTACGCTAAATTTATTGCAGCTTATTTCCTTTCACAAATACACGAAATAACATTAAATGAAAAAGTAATTACTTTTAATGGAGATATAATGACCTTACGTCTTCAAGTTGGTACAAGATTCACTGCCAAATTACAATTTTCTTGTACGCTTCCTTTATTTGAAACGGACCAGTCGATTTTAAAGACAACTCAAGATACGTGTTGTCTTTTCTAATCATCTTGATGATAACTCCCCATTGATTGGTGTAAGAATTCCTAACATTTCGTTGATACTGGCCCCAATCCTTACAATCAATGGAAATTTTGTTCTTTATGAATAAAATTGAATTGATCACTCTCATGGACGGTAATTGCTCCATTATTTCTCATATATCCGGAACTGGACGACACGATGGAACGAAGGTGGCCATGGAGTTTAGCAGTTACGAGTAATGTAATGGCCATCTCACAGTTCTCAAGAAAGTAAGACAGGACTGAATAAGAATCATTTATTTCTCTGATCTTTTTTCATCTCTTATTAATAGGTAATATAGATAGTTAATGTAGATAAATAATATTCTAAACCCTAGACAAATAAACTGAAAATCAGTCGTCATACACCCAGAAATAGCGCCATTTCTATATTGATCTGTTGCGGACTGCTACACGGCTAAGCCTTAACATAACCCTACTTATCACTATGTCAAAATTCCCTACTATGTACGGCTCCTGGAATTAGCTAAGCTATCTCAATAACATGAATGAAAGAGGACGTGTTGAGTGGAATGCGTTTATTAAGATTGTGATGATAATTAGGTATGTTTCTCCCACCTCTCCGCCTCAGAAACTGACGCAAATATTCGTTATTAAATACTGATTTTTGGTACGCTAACCCTTTGTAATGACTAATGATTTTTGATTGGTTGAGACATCTCTTCATCCGTGACGTCATTGGCCCTTTAACGCGATCAACATAGCGGCCGCACTTTCCAAAACGTTCGAGCGCTCATGTGATTTCTTTATGTAGCCGTGTTACTGTTAAGTACGCCACAGATCCCCATAGAATTGTAAAATCGTTAAAGTCAGCATGATTTGCTTTCAAAAGTGCCTAAGGTAGATGATCATGAAATATTTCATCATTCTGAATACCAAATTGTTTACAAATACCAAGTTTGGGAATTTTCCCGATTAACTCAACAAAAAAATAATAAGTAAGAAATAGCAATTTATCTCTTTTTGCATCACTTTAACCATTCAGGGAAATTCTATAGTGGTCTCTGATTCGATCAGGATTTTCGGCTTGACTGATGAGTTTAACTGGTCAAGTCTAATTAAATGACTGTTTTATATCATAAAAAGCATATTTGAATGCATTCACTTAAACAGTAATGTTTCCAGTAGAAAACATTTAACATTCAACATTCAAGTAGATTCAAATGATCACTGGAATACGGCACAATTAAGCCACTAACTGCTTGGTGCTGCATGCAGATAAACTTTACTGATATAACAGGATTAAAAATTAAAAAACTTAGATGATTCTTTGATAGATAGCTTAATCAAATAAATTAAAGTTGTTTGCGCTAAAGGAAGCACTTAATTTAAAGAATAAGAGAGTAATAAGTTTTGGGTAATAACAATAACACTCTTACCAATTAAACTGAAGTAATTAAAAATACCTAAACTCCTCTGTGATTTTCGTGATTTTTTAGATCTAGCGTAATAGATCTAGTTTAGTGGAAATAAAACTCCATTAAGCATAATAGAATCGAAAAATAAACAAATGTACAACTTCAATAAATTTGCCGGGACAATAAAAGGTATAAGAAGACCACATATTACAAATGGACAAGTAGTATTACTAACCGAGATATACGAAATCATCAAATAGCGGAGAAGTATAAATTTATTGGCAAATATGATATTTATGAATAGAATTCATCAAGTCACTAAGACTATACTTTTTAAAATATTCGTGAACTGCTCAAAGAAATTTATTATTTACAACAATATTTGATTTAAATTTATCATTTTCATAAAGCATGGTTCATGCTAAATCTAAATTAAAAAGTAAAAGAAATAGGTGGTTTATCTATAGAAGTCATATTGCAAATCAAACCTTGAGCATATATTTCTGGTCTTTTTAGTTTTTGTATCATTTAACCTGCTTGGTCATTCTTCCTCTAATCCGTCGGAAGTAGAGTGTTTATCTAATGCCATCCTTGAGTGGTAATGCTCTCTAATACGATAACTCAGCTGGTAGTTGATTCACACTCGTTTCGTGGTGCTCCACAATTTCTTAGACGTATTAAAAGTCTTTCATTTTCTTCTAATCTTCTGGCCACTCTTCTGCTTTGCGGATCTACTGTATTAAAATCAACATTCACTTTAAAATACTCACCATGCGAATTGAATTCAATTGGGTTTCAAGACATACTTTCATTTTATGCGGCTTTAGATAACAAAGAGAAGACAAGATTTACTGGTAATAATTTTTCGTAATCCTTTAATTGGTTTTCCACTAGGGGCTTTAAACAAATGTGTCACCAGCGATTCCGTTGTGATACTTTTCTGCTGCCTTGCCCTCATTATTCTTTCCTTACTTTGCTCAATAATGCAACTCTTTATTACTCTGAATATCAATCTCAAGTTTATGAAGAAATTTCGACATGGAGGATCATTGGATGTCTGTTGTGGTAGATTCCTTCATTTATAAAATTATTTGCTTCTAGTTTTTATCAATTGTGTTTGCCTTGGTCTAATGTACTGGGCCGCGTCTTCGATCAGTCAATTTCAATTTGATGAGATTAAGCGTAATTTACCACGACTCACATTTACTAATATCGAGCAGACGAGAAGCTTTATTAAAAATGCCACAAAGACAATGGATGCCTTTTCAATTTCATTTTCTGGTGGATTTTACTTTGTTCTCTTGGCTGGTCTTGCCTCTCTGGTTTCATTTGCTACGCAAACTTGTTCTCGGTCTACTATCGCCTTGCGGTGCGCATATTAGCACTTTCACTAAAATTTCGCTTTTGAATGGATCTCTAATCAGCGTTTCGACGTATTTTAGAAGTCAACCACCCCGAAGAGTTGAACCCCAAAGAGTATTAGAGGACCCGACATTAATATGGTGCAAATATTATCATTTTCATATATATTTCACATTCATTTTATGCATCGTTATTTTAACTAGTTTTATTCTCCTTCCTTTTAAGGTGGACAGGTCCCTATTTTAAACGGCTATTTTATCTAATTTTATTGATTTTAGGCTATAAAAATTTTTTAATTAAACCGTACGTGACTGCTTTCAGGCTGAATAAAGCTAACACTTTGCAGTGATATATCGCTTTAGTCTAACCAATTCCAGTTCATTTTAAAGGTATAGTCCATTTGAAAATAGAATAGTTGTTGAATTTTTTAGATTTTCTTCGTTAGTTGGTTGTTTCCGATTGACGTAGAGGTTAGCAGATGTCAAGACTGTGATTTTGATTTGGAAATGTTTTCATAAATGGGCTTTAAAATTAGGATTTTATTATTAATAATATGGTAGATCACTTTTTGACGTTGGTATTTCTATTATTCTTTTGAAGTATTGATAAACTTCATTTTTTTAATTAATGGCATCGGTTTTACCAAGTGCCCACTATTTGTGGATTGATTAATGCATTTTTCGATCTTGTTACTGTCCGTGATATTGCTTTACAAATTTACTTTTACCGAACTGATTATGCAAAACTTAGAAGACCATTGTTTATATGCAAATTAATTTCGAGTGCGAAATCTAACCGCTGTTTGCTTATTTGTGGTGCATTGTAGAAAGCCATCGTCTGGCGTATAACCGAAAAGTTTTCTCTTCTGCCTCCTTTGTTTTTGATGCGAAAGGCCTTTTTGTGATTGACTAAGCTTTTCATTCGCGCATCCCATCGGTATAATTTCCGTCGTCAATCTATTTTATTACTAAGTCTCACTGCCAATCATCTATGGCGACGAAAAACACTGACCCAAATTTTCTGCCCTTCTCATTTCCTTTCTGTGCTTTCAATCAAAATTTGTTACTTCATCTTTATTTATAATTAATGTAATCTTGTATTATATATTCACATATAATTAATGAAATTTTGTTTGTACGCCTTAGTTGTATGTGTTTGGTGGTTTTGACTTCAAGTTATATTATGGAGTAAGAAACTATGAAAATATTGTGCGTTATAAACGACAGTTGTTTGGGTATTAGTATTTTGCAGTATCCATAGGTTCCGGAGTGATTTTACCTGGGCGACGTTTATCCCTTTTTGTCACTTGGCTACGCTATTGTGTCAAATCCATTCCTGCCATTGCACGAGAGCAGCTAGTTGTTTCTCGTTAAGACAATTTTGCAAAGAAGTGAAATTTGACCGTAGATGAAAGCCCAATCTCTCGTGACTATCGAGTAGGTTACGTGATGAAATGCGCATATAAACAGGATTCTCGACTTTGGTATTAAAGAATACACTGCTGTGCTTGGAGTCACGAGTGCAGCACTGTAAGACGACTAGGGTGACCAAATGGAGGTCTGGAATATGCAAGAAGGTATGGAAAGTACTGTGACTTGAGCACTAACTGGAGTGTGTGAGAAAGAAAGTGACGTGAGGGCTTTGAATGTGGTTGGTGATGAGGTGCCTTAAATAGATGATGGCAAGTGGAGCACTTGGTGGTTGATGTTGGTCAGTGTGGAAATAGAGCTGAGGTAGAAGTAACAACGGTGGAAGTAATAGTTTGAAAGAGGGAGGGTTGGGGGTATAGTGGGATGTCCTCCCGAACGTTTAGTGCTATATTTGTGAAGATGAAAGGAGACAGTTGTTGATCTTAGTGACCACTTGAGCATCTCTGACCATGGTAACAAGTACCTGTTGAGTTTTGTTGACTTTGCTCATCCACTGCCTTCCCTTAACTCTATTAAATACACTTATTGAAAGGGGTGAAATTTTGCACTTTTTCTAAATTTTTTCCTCAGAAGTTGTTCCATGGACAGCCATTAGGTGAGCCATTCCCTATTGTTATAATAAATCAAGTACTTACTAGTCGAACGTTCGTGGATGGCGTCCAATACTCATAACCATCTAAAACTAACTTGCCATACGCGTAAGCGATCTCAAATCCAAGATCATCAGAGGACATGTATTTAAAAGAATGGCTGGCATTAATTGACAGTGCACAAACTCTTCATGTTTTAATTGATCGGAGAGAGGTACTGATGCAGAAGAAAGAGTTGTAGTACCTGATTAGAATCTTGCAGATGAAGAAGCACAGAACAGCTGAGCACTTGGTTGCATACATACAACGTAACCAACTCCTCGTGTGGCCGATTTAATGGCCTTGTCGTGAGCCCAGATTATTGTGATTCATTGTCTTCAGTATGTTTTCTTGTATGGAGTAGAATGTCGTTAGACTGTGTCCTGTTGGTGCTGGGGACCTATCGGGCGCATTTCGTGTGTACCGGCTGTTTTTGCTTAAAGTCTATTTTAAATATCCACCAGAGCCACAAGACAAAGATAATTAAGCCAATCTCATAGGAAGTTACAGTAATCTAAGCTATTTCATTACCTCCTGTTCCACTATTGAAATCGTTCACTTTTGTCATGGTCAGGATGATACGGCCCATTTTATTAAGTTACATCCGAATCCCAAAAAAAAACAGAAAAGCACTATTACCAAAGATTAGCAAATTTAATCACGAGTACCGCGTGTACTCGGGGAACAACAAAAAAGCAACTCGAGTTTGCAGTTCACGAGAATTTGCTCAAACTAAATCCTTAAAGTAGCTTTTTACTTTAGCTTATATCAATTGTCTATGCAATCACCCCTTTTTATTTAATCATTACACACCACTTTTAATTCCACTATTCCCACCTTTATTAGTATTAACTTCAATACTAATCATTTCAACAGAAATCTTTTCTTCGATCAAATAGAGTTTTGGTAGCTCTTCGTTCAATAGTGGGATTATCAAAAACGAATTAAAATGATGGAATAATTTATATCAAAGCAATATTAAGTTTTAAACAAGAGGTTATCGGACGACATCTGTCTTATCTAATTGTCGATGTTTCTACGCCGTAACTGACAGCTTCTATTAGCACTTATTTGGGATGCTTCATGTATAATATTGTTTTCAGTCGCTGGCATCAATTTCGTCTTACATGAAAATTTCAACATCTTCCAAAAAAGAGAACAGATGATGATCAAAAATGTAGAATGATGTATTTCCACTGTTCCACACACGAGCAATGATTTTCTCATAAGAACCTCATTGTATGAGAAACACATGGATTTTCTTAGAGTGAATTAATATTAACAAAAAAAGCTTCATAATGAGAATGTTGTGGCATAATCCCTCTATAACCATTCTAAAAGCTTTCAATTGTACCATTGCTGTAATACACTGATTTTGGTTCTGAGACAAGCTCAATTCAATTTCAGAGCTCCTTAAAGCCGATAACAAGCAAACTAGATAAGGGGTATAACTAAATAAAATTACCCCTTTGGTATTATGGATTGAAGGGAAATTTAAATGCTAGTATAAATTAGGCAGTTACCTTAAATGAGTCCCTATGAAGATGAAAGTAGAACGCCAGGTCCTTCGAAATGTGTGAAAAGAACAATAAAATTTATATTTAATTATTCGTCACAAATTGGCATAGAGGGATGTATCTCGCAAAGGTGTCGAAAAGATTAAGCGTGAGGTTGTTATTACCTTAATCCTTTCGACAACTTTGCGAGATTTATATATACTTATATAAGACATCGATTTTTTAGTCTAAATAAAAAATATCAATAAATTCGAAACTGGTCTTGATATATTGTTCAAATGGTTGGTCGGTGCGTTCAATCTTTTACGCAGTAATACTACAAGGTATTATTTCAATGTGATGAACTAATTCAATTTTTTTCCAAGAACATAATAATGTCGACGTAATCATCATAACTATGCATTCGTCCAAACCTGTTCCGTATTGTAAAATTTTTTGACTAAAAATTTATCGAATAAATATCTTAATGTGGGAAAATAGGCACATTTTAATTTCAGCATAATTAAATCATCCTTTCGATGAAATATTAAAAATTTGAGGAAGAGGTAGTAATTTAGTGCAATTTTTAGCATAGAGTCCAGTATTCACATTACTAACAATAAAAAAGATGGATCTTAATGTTAATGTATTATTACATATTCTAACTCGCGTAGACTTCTTCTCAAGGTTGTTATGACCAATTTTACATCAAGGAGGTGAGTTCCAGGGAGATATCAGAGGAACCAGTTTGTAGAAGGAGAGAAAATGGGCTACGCTTGCAGTATTGTAATTTAGTTGCGTAGGGTAAACGAACTCTAGGGCCTCTGACTAGCCAGGCTAATTTATTCTTAAAGATACTGAATTTGAAAATAAAATTTAATCAATTGATGGAAATTATAATTATGGGATAGGATATCACCATGTCATAATTGTGGGTGGTGAAACTCATAATTTTAATGCCACCACAATTACAATTGAGGTGTAAAAGATGTTTCAAATAATTTATTAATTGAATAATTCATAAATCTTTCCTTAAATGAAAAGATTTACTACTTTGTTGATCAATGGCGATATAAAATTATTGAGCAAAATTATGGTGTTATTAAAGTATATGTGTGGGCCTTTCTATTACCTAGAAGTTTTCTTTGGCAAGTAAGGAATAGTGAGTATAAGGACAGAGGCATTTAGTAAGTATGTAGATTACAATGATATTCATAAAACTCTATAATATATCCATGAATATTATTTACTATTATATGGTGAATGAAGATAAAATTTGGAACAGATTGCCAACTGTTCATGTATTTGATATCGTAGACTTTAATAAATTATATATTATTTATTAAATATTTTCAGCTTTGGAAACTGAACTAATGAGAAATCATTATCGATTATTATTCGCTCTTAGCCAAACTCAATAGGCCTATTTCGGCACATTTGCTGCGACTTCAGGATGGTAACCTACTACAAGTGTGAGCTTGTTTCTCCACCATATATCCTGTTCATGGGAGCCGATAAATATGAAAACGACAAACTCATACGATGGGGATGGCCAGAAGATGTTTGGTTCCATGTTGATAAGTTGTCATCAGCGCACATTTATTTGCGGTTAAGGGAAGGTGAAACCCTTGATGACGTCCCTGAAGCTGTTATTCAGGATTGTGCTCAGCTTTGTAAGCAAAACAGTATACAGGTGTGGTTTTTATTCTTATCATGATTTTATTGTGTTTTTTTGTTATTTCACCGTACATTTATGCAGCTCACTGTTTCGTTTTTGGCGACAGTATTTAGTTAATGGCCATATTTGATCTGTTAATCAATGCATTTCATATAGGCGTTGTGTATTTGCGCTTTTGTAATATTAAAGCATTTGCTTTCTCTGGATTATTTATACATTTAAGTATTAGTGTTCTATTTCGTATGAATTCTTTTTAGTTTGTTTGATCATTCATCAGCTCCCATGATAAAATATTCAGGTTGAAATACTAAAATTAACATTTAGTCTTATTTTTTTTCTTTCTCTAATGCGGGCTATAATATTTTCGGTATTTAGTTATTGAGCATTTGATAAAATCAATGCTCGTTCGAATCTTTTTGCCTGCTTTCAATTTTAGCCTACTTTTTTGCTCATTATTCGCTTGATTTTTCAAAAGTGTATATATATATCTAATTCCATTTCGACTGTAAATGAAGTAATCTGATAACGTGGAAATGCTACCCATTTTAGATTCCTCTTGAAGAGAGTGATGGTGAGGGGGGAGGGGTTTGTGAGGTCAAGCTTATCAGGGGAAAATAATTACTTAGTATTTGCTTCATTAACGCTTTTTGCATTCACAATGCTTCATTTATTGGTAGCCATCGGTGACTTAATAGTAGTAAAAAATAATTATGTTTATTAGGCTAAACTAGCATTTAATTGTCTTTAATGTATTTGTTTACCGCCATCTTACTTCGTGCTTTTCCGTTTTATAATCTCATTTTTATTCGACAAGAATAACCGCTTAATTTGGTGGGCTACGATGTGCTGATAATGATAGTAGTATTGAAATGCCATATTATCAAGTTAGAAAGCACTGTTCCCTAGCATTCATTGAACCACAATACTTCCAATGTTAATTGAAAAATAGCGCTTTCTTACACTAACATTTTCTATTCCCCTATTCATAATTTCCTGGCTCTGGATATTCATTTATATTTCTTGAGCCCATGACCTTTCGTAATGTATTTCCCCATGTTTTATTGAGCTGAAGAAAAAATATCTGATACTGTTATCTGGGCTTCATTTTCATTATTGTGTTTTCCCGAATGCTTCTTCTGTGAAGAGCTGCCACTTGTCTACATCATTAGCTATCCACCGGTTTGCACTAAGTGATTGGATTTCTTAAGATGGTGGTCAGCTCTGTTCATGATTATCTGTTTGAATATCAGTAGTCTATTGTGATATTAATACTTTAGACAATGAGTATTCTTATGGGTTGATGATAATGTTATTGACCACTACTTAATTCATTTAATCATTTTTCTTATTACTTAAATGACGATACATTCCATTCAATAGCAACATTTGTTTTCATATTGAATTCTTGTCCTCAAAGTATGAGGAATATGGAAATAGTTATATAAGAAGGTGAAGGACAAAGGAAATTGGTCACCCAATAATCTATATATATTTGGGTTTGAGTTCCGGTGTTTAAATTTTTGCTATTAATTGTGAGGTCTAACCGATAGATATCATTTAGAGGTGGGTTTGTTGGTCATTGAGCAGCAGTTGGTACTTGTCTGTGGGGAGGTTCTGCTAAATGTTCATACATCTCAAGCGCTAGAATGCTAACATGTTCACCCAACTGCCTACTGGTAGTTGAGGCTAGAATAATCACGTAAAAGGAAGGAAGGAAAGTGGTGGGTGGTTGTGGCATGTTTGATTTAATTTCTGCTTAAAAAGTAGACCCGATAGTTATGGAAAAAACGAAGTGGGGTTCTCCTTTTCCCCACTACTGCTGCTCCACGCCCCTCTTACTACGTATTTTGCTGCTTCCATTTAGTAAAATATTGTAAAGCATTATGCTCTGTCTCGAAAATAAATGAAACGACTAAGCTCCTTTCAGGGTTGCAAACAAAATGATGTGCCCATAGTCTACACAATGTGGGAGAACCTACGCAAGACTGCCGACATGGAAGTGGGCCAAGTCGGGTTCCACAACCATAAAACAGTCCGCAAAGTTATCGTCGCCAAGCGAGACGGAGAGATCCTTGGACGATTGGGGAAGACTGCCACCACAGTTTCACCTTTCTCAAGCATTGTCAACTCCAAGTCTGGAGTTGAAGATGAAAGCGAAGGAGCACAGGATGTTGAATCCCGTTTGCGCGCAGAAAGGGAGGCCAGAGATGCTAGAGAGCGAGCCAGATCGCGAGCTGCTCAGAAAGCTCGTGAAAGAGCCGAGAGGGAAGCTGAGAAGGCGAGAGCGGCTGAAGCTGAGAGGCGAGACTACGGCAGAATGTTCAAGGCGGAGGCAATGAGATCGAATGAAGATGGATATAACTCAGATGACTTTATGTGAAATGCCAAATGAAGAACAGAAAGAAAGTTTCTGGTTGTGTATATTATGTACTGAGGTACTCGTGATTAAATTTGCTTATCTTTAGTGATAGTACTTTTCTGTTTTTTTGGGATTCGGTTGTAACTTAAAAAACGGGCCGTATCATCCTGACCATGACAAAAGTGAACGATTTCAATAGTGGAACAGGAGGTAATGAAATAGCTTAGATTACTGTAACTTCCTATGAGATTGGCTTAATTATCTTTGTCTTGTGGCTCTGGTGGATATTTAAAATAGACTTTAAGCAAAAACAGCCGGTACACACGAAATGCGCCCGATAGGTCCCCAGCACCAACAGGACACAGTCTAACGACATTCTACTCCATACAAGAAAACATACTGAAGACAATGAATCACAATAATCTGGGCTCACGACAAGGCCATTAAATCGGCCACACGAGGAGTTGGTTACGTTGTATGTATGCAACCAAGTGCTCAGCTGTTCTGTGCTTCTTCATCTGCAAGATTCTAATCAGGTACTACAACTCTTTCTTCTGCATCAGTACCTCTCTCCGATCAATTAAAACATGAAGAGTTTGTGCACTGTCAATTAATGCCAGCCATTCTTTTAAATACATGTCCTCTGATGATCTTGGATTTGAGATCGCTTACGCGTATGGCAAGTTAGTTTTAGATGGTTATGAGTATTTGACGGCCATCCACGAACGTTCGACTAGTAAGTACTTGATTTATTATAACAATAGGGAATGACTCACTCAATGGCTGTCCATGGAACAACTTCTGAGGAAAAAATTTAGAGAGTGCAAAATTTCACCCCTTTCAATAAGTGAATTTGATAGAGTTAAGGGAAACAGTGGATGAGCTTAATTGCGAAGTAAGTCGGATTTAAATTGTCATGAATAACATATAACTAGAATACTCGAATTTAATGTTTACAACAGAGTGTTAATGACCAAATTCAGCAAAACTCAACAGGTACTTGTTACCATGGTCAGAGATGTTCAAGTGGTCACTAAGATCAACAACTGTCTCCTTTCGTCTTCACGATCATAACATTAAACGTTCGAGAGGACTCCCCACCATACCTCCACCCTCCCTCTTTCAAACTATTACTCCCACCGTTGTTACTTCTACCTTAGCTCTATTTCCACACTGACCAACATCAACCACCAAGTGCTCCACTTGCCATCATCTATTTAAGGCACCTCATCACCAACCACATTCAAAGCCCTCACGTCACTTTCTTTCTCACACACTCCAGTTAGTGCTCAAGTCACAGTACTTTCTATACCTTCTTGCATATTCCAGACCTCCATTTGGTCACCCTAGTCGTCTTACAGTGCTGCACTCGTGACTCCAAGCACAGCAGTGTATTCTTTAATACCAAAGTCGAGAATCCTGTTTATATGCGCATTTCATCACGTAACCTACTCGATAGTCACGAGAGATTGGGCTTTCATCTACGGTCAAATTTCACTTCTTTGCAAAATTGTCTTAACGGGAAACAACTAGCTGCTCTCGTGCAATGGCAGGAATGGATTTGACACAATAGCGTAGCCAAGTGACAAAAAGGGATAAACGTCGACCAGGTAAAATCACTCCGGAACCTATGGCTACTGCAAAATGCTAATATTGACACAGTGAACTATATCGCTTAAACACGAAAAACGGACAAACTAACCAGATTCGATTAAAAAAAGGATAATTTGATCAAAAGGGTTTATTTTCTTCCGCATATGCACTTCTCAAATGCCTGTTACACCATTTTACCACTCCAGGTACTCACATGCCCCCCCCCAACCCCCATTGATGAGTTTGCGTATTTTGTATTGTCGAAAGCATCTCCACCATCCATCTGCACTGTGAACAATCATTCTTTGACGCATTAGAGCCCTGAAACAACAGGGCCTCCTGCAATAGTCCAATAACTTCCCACTCGATTCTATGTCTATGTGTAACAAATCGTTCCAACATATTATATGTCAATTGCAGAAGCTACGATCACAGTAGTTGAAGTCAAATAACCGAAATTTCTGAACCCCCCGGGCACTTAGTAGTGTTTAACATGTAATGAAACCATACTCAGCAGATTTAAGACCAACAAATAGAGCTTCTGGAGCAGGTATTTCGCACTGGGTTCCCCGTCTACGAGCAACTCGTTCTCTTATATTCTTGTTAACTGGCATTGTAGAAAGTCGCGGATTCTTTCACAATAAAATTGCGAACATGATGCTTTTCGGTAGACCAATCACCATGCTTTACTCGTCTCTGCCAAGAGTTAAATGGTCAGATAGTTGCTTGAACTATTCCAATTCACAAAGGTTGTAAAGAATTTAAATAACAGTCCTCGAGCCCCCACAAACTTACTTGAAGATAGAAAAGCCAGTTTTGAATGCCCATAATATGGTCAATAATACCCATCAGCCAACCGCGTAATTTTCCCATCGATTATTAGGAGTGCACATTATCTTAGGCTGGTAAATGTGAACGCAGTTTCATCACTGCTGGCCTTTGGTAAGCCAAGCAATCCTCTGAATGCAAGCACTTATACATTTTTAATAAGTGGAATATAGGCACTCCTTTCACGCTACAATCATCTTCCTACTACCTCAACATGAAGACCTCCCAAGTCCTTCCGAACAACAAACTATGATCTGGCACACACTAGTCGGAATATATGAAATTTATATATTGTCGGACATTTTTGTCGGTGGTTGGTAGCTTTTCCCGAGATAGAAGGCGCATCTGTTGATAGTCATCTTCTTATTGCTTATGTTTAATAAATCAATTTTAATTAGCCTCAGAGAGACTCTCTGAGAATTCTGCGTGAATAAAAATTGGAGTAACGACGGTTGCCTCACTTTCCTACTTTAAGCTACCTACCAAAGCTCAACCAATCCTTCCGATTCGTCGTCGATTTCTCATGAGTCATTAATTAATCGCACTGCACAGTTGTATTTTAAAAATGGGGTGTGCGATAGACTTACCTCCACGTGGTGCACCCTGGGCAACGTATACTCATACGGCAAAAAGTCTGTTAACCGGCAGTTGGCTTCTGACTTCAAACTACCATCACCCCACTGTATGTCATATTCGACTCCTTCACAGTACCCACCTCACCTTTTTCACTCTACCTTTATGTCTGTCTCTCTCTTACACCTTTGAAAAACTCTTCTGTTCCCACCTCCCCCTCTCGACTTTTTTCACTTTGATGTTCCTT